GGGACAGGGACACACCGCTGTGCAGGGACAGGTGCCGCGTGGGGGTCGAGGCGCCGTCGAAGATGGCGCGGTCCAGGAAGTCGATGGTGGACTCGGTGTAAACGATCTGGAAGACCTGGCTGAGCAGGGAGCACAGCTCCTCAGCACCCACCTGGGAACGAGCAGGGAGCTGAGGGAGATCCATGGAGGGACATCCCCTCTCCCTTCCCCTTTGGCTCTGTGGGATGGGCGTTGGCCCCCAGGAGGACAGAGAGTGCCAGACCCCAAATCCATCCCCCTCCCACCATACCCCCTGCTCCTCCACCTGGCAGCAGGGGCTGGGATGCTCCAGCATCAACCCAGGAACCCCCACATTCTGTGCTGAAGCTCCTTCTTGTAGCTCCCTGGGATTTTGGCTCCTCCCAGAGGGGTGCAGATGCCCCAGGGAATGTCAGAGTTGGGAATGAGGGGAGTGGAACTCCACCCTCAGTGGAGATCAGAGGCTGAGACTGGAATCCCTGGATCCAGACACGGGATAAAACAAATCCCCAGGTCAGCACAGGGAAACACCCTTATCAGCAAAACCCCATTGTGGGATTGTCCTCATGGATTCCCTGCTGCTGCAGAAGGCCCTGGGTGACAAGGACCACCAAGGGAAACACTTCCTGGAGTCCCTCTTGTGTCCCAGGGCTGCGGCAGGGATCAGGATTCCTCCTCCATGTGCTCCTGCAATGCCCAACCACACCTGGCATCCTAAATCTGTGTCTCACGAGGTGTGAGAGCAGGGAAGGATCCAGACACACCACAGGATTTTCCACTGTGGAGTTTGTAGCTCCACCATCATCATGACCCAAGAGCCAGAAAGCTCCCAGCAATGCCAGTGCCTCTGAGGCATCCCCAGGGTTTTCATGGAGCAGTGGTAGCCATACCTTGCTCTCTGTGGCCAGCACCACGAGGCAGCAGGACTCCAGGGGCCCCCCTGCGCTCTCTGACAGCGAGCCCGACGTCAGCGCCTTGGAGCCCTCGGCACACAGGCTCTGGCTCGGAGAGATCCCGGGATCCTGAGCTGAGGGGACAGCAGAGGTGAGCAGGGCAGGGAGGGGATGGGAAGGAGTCCTGCAGGGGAAGAACAGCCCTGAAGCAGGAGAATGGGATGAAAAGGCTCCGATTTGGAGCTGGTTTTGAGAGTTGTCTGGCTGTTTTCACAGCTTGGAATTCCACCACCAGCTTTCCAGCCCCTGAGGTATTTATTCCTTTATTCCACAGCCTATCCACGGGGTTTGTAATCAGATAAAACCCCAGCTCAGCCCTCTCCAGCCCCCTGTTCCCAAACCATGCAGGTGTGACATGCACAGAGCTGCACAGGTGTCACGGAACCCTCATGGAATGCTTTGGGCTGGAGAGACCCTAAAGACCACCCATCCCCACGCCCTGCCACGAGCAGGGACACCTTCCACTGTCCCAGGTGGCTCCGTGCCCAATCCCCCCTGGCCCCCAGGGGGACAATCCCAACCCCATGGCCACAGCTCACCTGTCTTGAGCACAACCAGGTGAGCGGAGTCATCCCGGATGTAGGAGACGGAGGCGATGTCGTGGATGGGCACCCTGAGGATCAGGTCCTCCCCGTCCCTCCACACCAGTTTGATGTTGTAGGCAGACAGGCTGATGACAGCGTCGTGCTCGGGGGTCAGCTGTCCCGGGAGCTGGTGGGCTCTCTGCAACAGCGGGATTCACACGGATTTACTCACGGAATGCTTGGGTTGGAAGGAGATTAAGGATGATCCACGCCATGGGCAGGGACACCTTCCTCTATCCCGGGCTGCTCCCCAGCCAACCTGGCCTGGGGCACTTCCAGGGATGGGGCCACAGCTGCTCTGGGAAATCCATTCCAGCCCCTCAGTGCCCTCCCAGGGGTGTTTCCCCACGGGGAACAGCAGGATGGAGGACAGCCCTGAGCAGGCTCCCTGAGGCTGGATTTTGGCCTGCTGGGAGCCCCAGAGCAGCTGGGTGCTCACCTTGGCGTTGTCGATCAAGTGCAGGATCTCCGTGCGGCTGGAGGGATTCAGGTACCCCGGGATGGACGTGAGCTGCCCTAAATACTGGGAGAGAAGAGCCAGAGCATCACCACAGCACGGACACAACCCTGGACACGGCACAATGAGCCACGGAAAGCTGGAGATGGGTGAGAGGTGGGAATGTTCACCCGGAACAAAGGAGCTCGGCAGAAACCTTAGAGCTAAGTGCCTAAGGGGCTTTAGGAGAGCTGGACAGAAACTTGGGACAAGGGGGAACGGGTTCCCACTGCCAGCTGGGATGTTAGGAATGAATTCCCAACGATCCCCTGTGGTACCTTGACTTCCTTCTCGATGTAGTCGTGGAGCAGCAGGTCGGGCTCCACGCGGTCGGGGAGCGCCACCAGCACCGTGTGCAGCGGGCGCCGCTCCGTCACCTTCTCCTGAGCCTTCTTATCCCGGCCCTTCTCCCCCTTCAGGAACACTCGCTTGAACGGCGACACGATCCCAGGCTGGGGAGAGCAACGGCAGCACGGGGTGAGCGGGGGCTTTGGGGGGTCTGGCAGCCCCCCGTCCTGCCCAGCGACCCTCCGTGCCATCCTGCTGGTTTTGGAGTTATAAATCCACGGCTTTCCAGAGAAAACCCTGTTCCTGGGACACAGCACAAGTGCTGAATGTTCCCACTACCAAAAGGTGGTGGTTTCACCCCAAAGTCACCGTGCTCAACCTTCCAGGTAAGAGAAATACAACTCTTATATACAACAACATATTGCATGTGAACAGTGGATCCAGAGGGATTCTCCATGGTTTTGCACCTCCCTGAGGATCTGCTGGGCCAACTCAACAAGGAATGCCAAAGAAACGGGCAGCAATGTTCCAAAGAGACCCCAAACAATGAGAAAATGACGCAGAAAGTGGATTTTCCTGGGAAAAATGGGAAATTCCAAACCACTGGAGATAAGACATAAGCTCCCAGCTGTCAGTGGCATGGGAATGCCACATGGATCTCACCAAGCTCCACACCAGATAAATGATTGGGAACATCCCCAGACTGCTCCAGTTCCAGGTTTACCAGGGGAAGTGGCTGTCTAGAGCACACAGATCCATGGCTGCATCCAGGAACTCCTTGGACACGTGTCCAGTGTCCCATTCCCTGGCCTCTGCTTCCCACCCCTCAGGACAACCACATCCTGGTTTCCTGATCCTCATGGGAAGGGGAAAGGAATGAAAGATCTCAAGGGTCAGAGAGCATACTTCCAGTGGTGAATTAATTAAATATAAACCAAGGAAAAGCTCCTGGGACAACGGGAATTACCAGCTCACAAGGAAACACAGGGACATTGGGGATAGCCCAATCTGGAAAAACATCCCTGGAACAGGGAGACAAAATAAAGGGATCTTCCAGGATAGAGAGGAGAGGAAACAGCTCCCCAGCCCCGCCTCAGAAGCAGCAGTGTGGATTTTTGGGAAGCATCCCTACACAGAAGGACCCCATGATCCTTGACCACCATATTCCATAACCCTGCCAAGGGGCTGGAGAGAGGGAAATCCTGGACACAACAGGTCTGTTCACATGAACAGAGATTTGGGGACTCTCCAGCTTTGGGATGTCCCATCCCAAACCTTGCCTGCCCATGCCTAAGGATGCAGTTCCATAGGAATCTGTCAGGAATCCAGAGCACAGCAATGCAGGAAGGTGCCGCGGGGATCCAGGTTGTACCCTGACACTTCCCCCTCCACCAGGCCGGGTCCAGATCCACCCCAATCCAGAGGAACCCCCTTTCCCTCCAGGATGTGGCTGCATCCATGGGGCTGGGATGATTCTGAGCTCCCCTGGCTGTCCTGGGGGGCAGGAACTGGGCACCCCAAACCCCAGCACCCCCAATTCCGGCTGTGACGCAGCCTGAAACAGCTTCTGCTTTTGGGGCACCCCAAACCCGCAGCACCCACCTCGTCCTCCATGGAATTCCCAGCAGGAGAGCAGGCCCCAGCCGTGCTGGGGGGGCTGCAGGGGCTGTGGGGGAGCAGGGAATGCTCTCCTTGTTTTGGGGGTGCCGGGATGGAGGCGCTCGGGGCCAGGAAGTGGTCACAGTTTCCTGTCCCACGTGACACAGCGAGCTGGGGAGGGAACCACGGCAGGGCACCGGCCCCGTCCCTGCTCCTGCACCCCCAAATCCCTGCAAACACCCCAAACCCTTCCTCCTCTGCCATTGCCACAGCCAGGAGGGAAATATCCCTGTGCCAAGGGAGGTTGAGCCCTGGTTTCTCTTGCAAGCTCAGAGTTGTTTTGTTCCAGCACCCAGCTGGCTCCCAGGTGCTGCTCCCTGAGGCTTTTCCAACCCCAATGATCCCATTGAGTCCATGGGCTGTACAGCTGCTTCTTCCTGCCCAGAGCAGCTGGGGCTGCCCCTGGATCCTTGGAAGTGTCCAAGGCCAGGCTGGACAGGGTTTGGAGCAACCTGGGAAAGGGGAATTTCCTCCACCACCCCAGTTCCTGACCTCCCAGCACACACCAGCACATCCACACTCCCTCTGCATCCCACAGCATGGATACTCCAAAATCCACTTGATCCCAAAGAGCAGAGGGGCTCCAGCCCTGGAGCAGCTCCACGGCCTCCTCTGGATCCCTCCAGCAGCTCCAGGTCCTCGTGCTGTTGGATCCAGGGCAGCTCTGCAGGTGAGGTCTCACCTGAGTGGGGAGAATTCCCCAATTCCTGCTGCCCACGCTGGGGAGCAGTCCAGGGCACCGGGCTGGATATTTGGGATAGCAAAGGAATCTCAAGAATTTTTCCCAAAGATGCAACTCCAGGCCCAGCAAGTCCATGTGTTAGGATGGAAGTGCTGAAGCAGCTGCTGGAAGAGGCAAATGTCACCAACCTCAGTTATCCAGGGCATCCCTGAGCTGGAAAAGCTGGGAATTTCACACTGTCAGCTGATTACAAAGAGAATTCCCTCAGGGAAACCCTGCTAGCTTTGGATCCCTGGCACTCATGGCACGGACTGTGGAGTCAGAGCAGCAGGGAAATCATTCCCAGAAAATTCACCTCCACTTCTTCCTGGGAATAAGCATGCTGGGAGCATCCATCCTCACCTGAGCTCACCTGTCCAGGTGTGACCCCAACTGCTCCCAGCTCTGGAATTCCAAATGGATCCATCCTACCTCAGAGAACTTGTGGGAAATGCTATTTTATCCCAGGACAGCTCCCCGTTCCCACTGGGTCAACCACAAGTGAGATCCAGGGAATGTGAGCTCCTTGAAGGAATTCTAGGGCTCCAGTTTAAACCAGATCAGATTTTATCCAAAGCTGAGATTTTCCTCCTTATCCCAACCAAACCTGTCCCAAACTCCCTTTGGATCTGCGCTGAGGGAACTCAAGTCCTTCATTTCAGCTCAGAATGCTGCTGGAATGATCCACGGAGTGGGAAAAGCAGGAAGAAGAGTTTTCCCTGCAGCTGGAACATCTGAGGAAGACAAAGGTGAGTCTTCCCATCTCCATAGCCAAATTATCCAGGTTCAATGGTGATCCACAGGCAGCAGCTCCAAGGGTTAATTAACCACCAAAACGATGGAAATCGTGCTCCAAGGAAGCTCCACAAGGCCATGGATCAGCTCAGGAGAGGCCACAGCCAAGCCAGTGCCAGGTGCCCAGCTCAGCCCTGCCCCACAGGGATGGGGGAGCTCCTGATCCATTGGGATCAGGACAGGAGGGGCCACAGAGGGGACTGGGAAATGTGGGATCAGCCCTGGGACAGGGATCAGAGGGAAGACAAGTGGGACTATCCAGGGCTAGGGGGGTCCAGCCCAACATGTCCTTGGGGAAGGGAGGAGGGAATGATCTACTCTTCCCACTGCCAAGAAATAAAATGGGATACCCCAGGGCCCAGGTGAGACACACCTGAGCTCCACCTAAAATCCCCTGGAGTCTTGGGAGCTGATTCCTTCCCAAAAGCAGGATCATCCTGTCTCTGGGTGGAAAATTCCTCCTGCAGCATCTCCTGGAGCTCCCTGCTGGCATTATGTCTGGGAATCCTGGAGAGCAATTCCCAAAAACTCCCACTCAATTTTACTCATTCTGGAAATGTTTTGCAGAGCTTCAGCAGGAACCTGCCGCTACCTCCCAAGATCACTGTGAGGCCAGGGACTCCTAAAAATCTCCAATTTCTCCCAAAAACTATGGGATCGAATCCATCCTCCTGCTCCAGGTCTGAGCCTCTCCCAGAGGACACAGAAATGGGTTGAAAGGAGAGAAATCAGGGCAATATTGTCATGGCTGGAACTCCTGAGCCCCGGAGACATAATAGAGGCATAAATTAATAGATGTATGAATTAAATTAATTCGCAGCAGTAAGAATCGAAATAAGTTAGAAAACTCACAAAATAAGCACTCCGTAATTAATAACCCCATCAATTAATAACCTTTTCCAAGCCCTCATTCACAGCGGGAGGTTTTGGGGTGGAGGCTCTGGGAAAGGGATGCGGGCAGGATGTCCCAGGAAATGCGAGCCGGGAAAATCCCGGGAAGGGGCTCTGGAACAGCCCCGGGAGGGGATCGGGCACCGCCGGGAGGGCTCCGGGCCGGGGCAGGGGGCGGTCCCCGGCCGGGATGAGCAACCCTCGGGGGGCACAGCGCGACCCCCGGCTGCCCCTCTGCCCCACTCTCACCTTCTTGCCCTTCTTGCCCTCCTCCTCCATGGCTCCGGCGGCGGCCCGGGCCCCCCCCGGGGCATCCCGGCCCGGGTGCGCGGCGGGGCCTCAGCGCGCGGCAGCGGCGGCGGTGGCCATGGCCCGCCCGGTTCCCGCTCCAGCCCCGCCTCCCGATCCCAATCCCGTTCCCGATCCCGCTCCCGGTCCCGGCGCCGCCTCAGCGCCCGAGGCTCGGCCCCGCCGCCATCTTGGGCGGCGCCTTCCCGTGACGTCATCGTCCCGCCGCCGTGGGGAGATGAGCGCAGTGCGCCTGCGCCAAACTCTGGGCCCAACACTCCACGCCCACCAGTGAACCCTACCGACCACGCCCATCACTGTGACCCCCCCATAGGCCCGCCTTCATTGTGATGTCATCTCTGTGACCACACCCACCCCCGGCAGCGCTCCTCTCCTTGGCCCCGCCCACTCGCGCTCCGCACGCGCTGATTCCTCCTCTCGCGCAGCTCTGTGACGTCATCACGAGGTGCCCTCTCTCTCAGCCATGGCCGCCGCAGCAGCAGGTGAGGGGGGAATGGCGGCCCATGTGTATCCGGCACCATCCGCCGCCATCCGTAGCCGGGGCCTCCACCGCGAGCCGCGGGACCTCCGATGGCTCCTTGGGCGTCACCGGTGGCTCCCGGCACCGCGCGGCGTGTGGCGCTTCCCGCCCATCGGCCTCGGCGCGGTCATGAGGGGCCGTGAGGCGCAGGGCGGTCAGTGAGGGCCTGCCGGGGGTGTCCTGGGGTATCTCGGGGATCGAGGCTCCCTCGGGAGCGCTTTCCCGCCGCAGTCTCCAGCATGGGGGGGCCTGGCGTGGCCCCTGCCATTCCTGTAGCGCTGCCAGAGCACTCCGGGGCCGTTTGAGGCCGCTCCCGGCGCTTCCCGGGGGCGGTTATAGAATCCCCGGACATGCCCGAGCTGGGGGGGACATGGGGGGACTGCGGGAGCCCGAAACCTCCGGGCCGGGCCCAGCGCAGTGGGGCCAGGGACATTCCTGCTCTTTCCCATTCCAGGCTCCTCTGAGCATCCAGAGGGATTCAGGAAGCCACCAGAAGGAAGGAAAGTGGATTCAAAGGACCTGCCACCGTAATTAGCCAAATTTTGGTTAATTAAGGCCAACAAGGCCTCGGCCCCTCACCTCCCAGGGCTGAAATGGGAATGCCGTGACCTGAGACACAGAGCTGCATCATGGCAGGATTTATCTGTGGACACCACCTGCTCAGGTGAGGGTCATCCCCAGCTCTGCCGGTGCTCCTTGGCTGCCCGGTGGGAGTCTGCAGGGCTGGAATGCAGCGGGAATATCGGGGAGTTTGGGTCCTGGTGTCACCATGGACCGCGTTCCTGAGCTGTCCCCATGTCACCCCTGGATCCAGCAGGGCATTACTGGGGTGACACCAATGTCCTGGAGAGCCCAGGATCCGCCATGTCCGGGTGCCCGTGGCTTTTCCCACCGCAGGCTCCAGCATGGGGGGGCCTGGCGTGGCTCCCACCATTCCTGCAGCGCTGCCAGAGCATCCCGGGGCCGTTTGAGGCCTCTCCCGGTGCTTCCCGGGGGTGGTTATAGAAACCCTGGACATCCCTGGGGCCCATGTGGGATTTGGGGGAAATGAGGCGGGGCCAGTGACGTTCCTGTCCTTCCCATTCCAGGCGCTCTCTGTGGTGGTCCAGAGGGATTCAGGAAACCACCAGGAAGGAGAAAGTGGGTGTGATGCTCTTGTCACTGTAATTAACCCAGTTTTGGTTAATTAATGCTGCCAACACAAGGTGTGTGCTGGGTGTCACCTGCCAAGGCCTCAGCCCATCCCACCCTTCCCGGGCCAGAGCCCTTGTCCCACAGGGATTTATCCAGTGGCCGTGGATGTAAGGAGAAGCTGGAGCAGCATGGCAGATTCCCTGTGGAAGAATGAGGAGGATTCAGCCACACCAAAGTCAGGGAATTAAACTTGAACCCATTGTTTTTCCGTGTTTTGATTCCAAAGCTTTTTTTTCTTTCTGGTAAAAAGGGATAAAAATAGGGATTCGGTGGGAGGGGAAGGAGATGCTCCAGGGGAGCAGGGGCCCGCCTCATGTCCCCAGGGTCACCTGGACCTGCTGTCCCCATGTCCCAGGCTCTGATGGCCCCTGTGGCCCCGTTTCCCTGAACCACGGTGTCCTTGGGTCCTGGTGTCCCCTTGTCCCTTCCCGGTGCCCCCAGTCCCTGAGGGAGTGGCTGGGAGGTGGGGCACAGTTCCCAGCTGGAAGAAGGTGGCTCTGGTGTGCTCCTCTGGGATCTTGGAAGCTGCTGAGGAGCTGCTCCTGTACCAGAACCCATCAAATAGCTTCATTAATAGCTCAAATTAATGGAGCAGATAATTACGTTAACGGGTTAAATACATGAATGGAATAGTGTAGGATAAAACTTAATGCCTTCAGAGGCTGGACAGCGTTAAAGGAACAGAGTAGGGATTTATTGAAAGGCTTTCACAGGATACACCTTGGGCAGTGCAAGAGCCTGGCCAGGGCTACATCCAAAATAGATGATAGATCATGAGTTTTCACACTTTTATAAGTTTTAGTCCATTTCCATATTGGGGTTAATTGTCCAATTCCAGCTCCAGGTTCTGCAGTCCCATCCTCCCAGACTGCTCTCTTCAATTTTCTGCTGTTTGCACTTTTTGGGGCTGAAGCTGCAGTGGTGTCCTTGGTTCTGGGGCTGGAAAAGGATCGTTTTGTCTGACTGAGCTGGGAGGAGAACTCGTTAACACTTTATATAAAGTTCAGAGTTACACATTAATGCAGCCCAGAGTCTGAAAAATACGAAAGTTAAATCTTAAGGCATCGCTGTTACTCTGACTGATCCACGTTGTTGGAACGGGCCTGGGGGGACAACGAGGCATCCCTGGCACCACTGAGGCTCCTGAAGCCCTGAAACACTACGCGATACTGGGGGTCCGCGGGAGGTGGGGAAAAGGCTAATTAACGGCAATTAATTACCGGCACCCCGGTAGGCGAGGCCTTTAAAGGGCTGGGGAGGGCCTGGGCGTGGTCGGTTTCCATAGCAACCGCCCCGCCTCGAGGGCGGGGCTTCTGCAGGACAACAGCGGTCTCCTCCAATCAGCGGGCGAGGCGTCCCCGTGGCAACAGCGCTTGTCCCGCCCCGAGTGGGCGTGGCCACACGTTCATCTTATGGGGTGAGGCGTCGTCAAGGGAACGGGCGCGAGGGGCGGGGCGTCGCCATGGCAACGGAGCCGGAAGTACCGAGCGGACTCGCTGTCCCGTGAGCCCTCGCGCGCGGTTCCGGCGGGCCGGGCCGTGCCGGGATCGGGCCGGGATTCGGCCGGGATCGGGGCCGGGATCGGGCCGGGTCGGGATGGAGGCCGTGCCCCGCATGCCCATGATCTGGCTCGACCTCAAGGAGGCCGGGGAGTTCGCCTTCAACGCCGCCGTCAAGAAGGTGGGGCCGGGGAAGGGCCGGCGGGGCCTGGGAGGGGCGTGAGGGTTGGGAAGGAAGACGGGAGGGTCTGGGCGGCTCTGGGGTGGCGGTCGGGATCCTTGCGGGGTCTCCGGAGCTGTGGGGAGTTAGAGCTGGAGGGTTTGGATCAGGACGGGGAGGGTGGTGAGAGACCGGGACCCCCTTCCCGCACCCCTGGGGCTGACGCCGTGTCCCTGCCGCCCCCGCGGGGTTTGGTTAATTAGTCACTTCATTAACGGCTGTAAACAAGCTCCTCCCCTGCCGGCGCTGCCCGTGCTCGGCGCTGATGGATGGGGAGGATTCGGGGGCGCCCGGGCGGTTGTGCCGCTCCTCCCGCGATGTTTTGGGGGCACGGGCAATGTCCCCGACAGGCCGCACCTTGGGGCCGGGGGACACTTTCCCTCTGCCCGTAACTCCTGTTCCGTCCTCAGCCATTCCCCGATCCCATTCCCCGAGCTGCCCGTGGAGCTCCTCCTTGTTTGACCCCCCAGCCCGGCCCGCTGCCCCCTCCCCAGCGGCCTCTCCGGGGCCGGGCCGGGCTCCGGGCCCCTCACCTTCTCCCCTTCCCTAGTTTGTCCTGAAGAACTATGGGGAGAACCCGGAGAGCTACAACGAGGAGCTGCGGAAGCTGGAGCTGCTCCGGCAGGTGAGGGGGGACCCTGGGAGCCGCCCTGGGGGGCTCCGGGCTGGCTCTGCCGACCCCTCCGGGCCGGGGGCGGTGCCTTGGCTGCTCCTCTCCCTCTCCTGTGTCCCATGGAGCAGCCTTGGGATGATCCCGGCGATCCAGGAGCCGCCAGCTGGGTGGGGGGAGCAGGGACAATTCTTGGTGCTGGCCCCAGAGTCCCCAAAGCCTGGGGGGGCCCAGACACCCCCAGACCAGCACTGGGGTTTCTCCTGAAGCGGGAGGGCAGGAAACCTTCCCAGGTGCTCCTGCTGTTCCCTCCTCTCCCGGTGTGGCCCAGGACACCCAAATCCCCGTGGTTCTCCCAGCCCTGGCAGCATTTTCCCACCCCGGATCCATGGGGTGGCTCCCTCAGTTTGGTTTTTGGGAGATCACAGCCGCTCCTGAGGCTTTCCAGGAGCCAGGCTCATCCCAGGGGGCTGGATGTGCTGGCTGCGGCCTCCCCTGCACGCCAGCTCCTCTTCCTGCCTGGAACGTGTCCCCAGAGCTTGTCCCTCCTCTTCCTCCCCCTCCTGTCCGTTCCCAGAGCGCCGTCAGCGTCCCCAGGGACTTCGAGGGCTGCAGCACCTTGCGCAAGTACCTGGGACAGCTGCACTTCCTGCAGAGCCGCATCCCCATGGGACACGGGCAGGACGCGGCCGTGCCCGTCACCTGGTCAGGGATGGGACTGGGGTGGGGTCCTGGGGTGGGGAGTAGGGTGGGAGACTGGGAGCGGGAGTGGGATGGAGATCCTGGAATGGAGGGCTGATCCAGGCAGGGTATGGCCGTGGCCATTCCCTGGGGAGGGGATGCTCCAGGAACCCCTTAGGGAATGTGGTCCTGCCTCGGGTGGCACAGGGCGATCCCAGGGGACCTTTGAGGAATGGGGCCCTGCACAGGGGAGTCCTGGGGACCCTTGGGGAAGGGGCTGCCAATGACCTTTCCTCCTGGGAGAATCCCTGGTTGCTGCCTGTCCTGTGCCCCCTTCCCCCAGGACTGAGATCTTCTCGGGCAAGGCGGTGACACACGAGGACATCAAGTACGAGCAGGCCTGTGTCCTCTACAACCTGGGTGAGCTCCTGGCTTCCCGCAGGTTTGGGGCTCCCTGGTGCCAGCCCCCATTCCCAGGGGCTGTTGGGGTGTCCCCGCCCCGCTGAGCCCCCGCCTGTCCCCACAGGAGCTCTGCATTCCATGCTGGGAGCCATGGACAAGCGAGTGTCCGAGGAGGTGAGCACCCCGCAGCCCTCGGTGCCAGCTCTGCTCTGTCCCACCAGGGCACAGGTGGCACCTGGGCAGTGACAGGGCAGGGACTGGCCCTGTGGAAGCTGGGGACAGGGTTGGGGTGTCCAGGTACAGCACACTGAGGGGCTGCAGCTGTGTGGAGACGGGAGCAGAGCTAGGGAAGGGCTGGAGGAGCTGAGGGAGGGGACAGCCAGGGAGGGACAGGGCTCTGCTCCCAAGGAACAGGGACAGGAGGAGAGGGAATGGCCTCAGGCTGGGCCACAGGAAGTTCAGGTTGGATATTGGGAAAATTCCTTCCCCAAAAAGGCTGCCCAGGGCAGGAGTGAAGTCCCCATTGCTGGGGGATTTTAAAGCCCTGTGGATGTGGCACTTGGGGACATGGGCAGTGGTGGCCTTGGTGATCTGGGAAGTTTTTTTCAAGCCCAGCAATTCCATCCCCTTCAGGGCATGAAGGTTTCCTGCACCCACTTCCAGTGTGCAGCTGGTGCCTTCACCTACCTGCGGGATCACTTCCCCCATTCCTACAGCGTGGACATGAGCCACCAGATCCTCAGCCTCAACATCAACCTCATGCTGGTAGGGACTGGGGGCACTGGGGGCACTGGGACACCTCCAGGGTGTCCCTGGGGTTGGTGCTCCCTGTGGATCCCGTGTCCCCTGGGGGGTTCTTTGTGGGCTCAGGGCCCCAGGGTGGGGGGGAAGGAGGTTTTGGGGGGCACTGGGGGATCAGGGAAGGCTCAGTTTGGTTTTTTTTTTTGCTAGGGTTGGGATTAAATGTGTGAGGCAGTATTTTTTGTTTGGATTTAAATGTTTATTGGTTTTTATTTATATTACAGTTTCACAAACCATGAGTTTTATAGTACTTTAACAAACTAAAAATTGAGTTTTATTTTTTTACGAGGTTTTTTTTAAGGATAAACTTTAACACTTAAATTATTTTTGCTTTTAACTTAATAACTAATCATTTGTGTTATTAGTTATTAGTTATTAGGACTTTTTTATTTAGTTATATAATAGCACTTAGACTCATGAAGAAGGACTGGTTTTTGTTCTAAAGCTTTTATCTTGTTATATATATTATTATATTTTAAAACTTCAGGTTTTTTACCATGTGATATTACACACTTTTATTCAAACTACACACTCATAATCTCAGTTTTATTATTCAGTTTTGGAAGCCTTTCCTACAGCTTCAGGTCAAATTTTTGCATTTTCTTTGGGGTCAGTGCCTGTCAGCACAGAAAATCTTGAGATTTTTAGTGACCAGGGTTCTCCAGGCACCCTCAGGGCTGGCATTCCCTGTGCCACATCCACCCCTTGGGACAGGGCCTGGAGCCAGTGGGTGCTGCCAGGGCTCTGGGCTGTCCCGAGGGCTGGGGACACTGAACACTGCTCTTTGTCCCTGCAGGGCCAGGCACAGGAGTGTCTCCTGGAGAAATCCATGCTGGACAACAGGAAGAGCTTCCTCGTGGCCCGGATCAGTGCCCAGGTGAGCTCCAGGAGCTGCCCTGGGATCAGGAGCTGGAGAGGGGCTTTGGGCAAGTCAGGACACAGGGAATGGCTTCCCAGTGCCACAGGGCAGGTGGGGGGAGAGTACTGGGAAGGAATTCC